TTAGATTATAAAATGCCAGAAGTTTGCAAATCTGACTCGAGACTTAATCTAAATTGCTCTTTTTAGTTGTCATGTCTTACAAAAATCCTAAGGATGTTGAGTATATACACAATAATACATTTACATATCCACATCAAAAGGCTGGAACCAGTGAACTGTGGCATTAAGTGGCTTAAATGATCAGGTTTTACACGTTTGGATTTCATGAATAACCTCAACATGAAGCTATTTTGCTAATTGATTGAAACTATTTCCTAGTTTCCGTTGTATTAAGGAGTTACGGTGGTGTTTGTGTCACAGAGTAACTGCAGTAAAGACTAGAAAGAGTGATATAAAACAAACAATAGTTTCCTGGATAATCCAAGCATAAGAAACCCTGATCATTCCCACGCTCAGGGTAAATCTGAGCTGGTGTTTTATTATATATTTCTCACCTCCTGGGACGCTTCTGCTTGTTCTTTGTGCGACTTTTCCTGGTGGGTTTGGGCAGAATTCTCCTCTGAAAAAACAACATCTTCTCGTTAACCTCCAATCAGGATCCACACACACATTTAAACAGCTTCAAATTCAAGTCATTCAAGAACAAATGAACGTCATGAATCAGGGTCAGACTGATATTCGGGCGCAGTATTGGATATAACCTGCTGAAAGTCTTTTTCCTCCTAGCCTTACTCGACAGCTTCAGAGTCGAAAACGTGCTTCTTTCTGCATTAAACAAAACATTTCAATAGAAAATGTCAATATTTATAAATGAAGTTTTGACAAGTCACCAATTTCTAGCTATTGACTTTAAATCAAAATATGTCTTAACATGCCCAGATCAGTCGAACCCTAACACATCAGATATTGTGCACTGCATGGTTTAGCCCCCCAGTAATGGCCCCAAAGGACTCTGGGAAGATGTAGGAATATACAGAACGCCCGTCCTCTCCGACCGGCGGCCGGGAGAAGAGCTTTGTCTCCGACATCATGGAACGGGACTTTACGTCTCAGCTGAACGCTACGCTCCCATACGCCACAAGGACAGAGCCAGGAGAGCAACCTCGCTGGATATCCATGTCGGGTTCACACAGAATACACACATTCATCATCATATGTATACATCTTTCTTATACCAGGTTGTGGAAGAGGTCTGTTTGTATCTTTTAAAGTTTATTTCAAAGGACATCTGACTGCTGCATGAGGTGAAAAGTCACACCTCTCCAAAATGTTGGTTTCCAAACGCTAGGTGACATTATTTAAAATCATTCTGGATATTTTTGGAGCATGAGGAGAAGGATACATTTCTCAGACCAACTTAAAATCACAAACATGTGAAGATGCAATGTGTAGTACAATTAAACATTTACCAGAGATGGTTCATATTTTGATGCACCTGATCATATTATAAAAAGGTATTATCCAGATAAGGGATGCTGTAGTTAACGCTACAATATGACACCCAGCATTGACACTATTGATGTCACAAAACCAGATATGTAGGAGTCAATACCAGTATAATTCTACATAAAGAATTCAATATTGGAGTAAAAGAAGGAACTCTATGTAAAAAAACATGTCAATTAGTTGTTTTAAATATGAATAATAAGCTGGTTGTGATGCATTCACTCAGCAGACCTTATGAGGGGTCACCAGTCTTAAATAAGTCAATAAAACATGTATTGAACTGGGGAAAGACCTCCTCCACAACCCTGCAGTATTGATCCATCCATGATGATAAACTCAGGCAGACATCTTCCTCCTGCTCACCTGTGCAATGAAGACAACGTGCTTCCCGCTGAACTTCTTCTCGAGCTCCCTCACCAGACGCACCTGGATCTTCTGGAAGGACTTCAGCTGAGGAACGGGAACGAAGATGATGATGGCTTTCCGACTGCCACCTACCTCGATTTCCTAGAGACAAAACCAACACACTTAATGACAGAAGAAAACAGATAATGAACGACCTCCCTGATCATTAGACTTTATACAGGTGGAAAGGAACATTTATTCCTCAAACAGTTAGCTAATAAAGTGGAGAAATCTCACTGATCGCACCAGATTAATGTTAGCATAGTCATGACAGTAAACATTAGTTAAGTCCTTATATAAAATAATGTGATCTGCGTGGTTTACCATCATAGTAACAGCCACTCGAAGGTGTCTTGGAAGGTAATTGGAATCTTTATCAATAAGTATATAATAATAACTGGCAGATCAAAGCAAACCTAGTGAAAGTTGCAAAAAGACGTTTGTCATTTAGCATGAAATACACCGGTCTAAAACCAAAAGATTAAACTGGAATGCTAAATTATGTTTCTTTATGCTAGACAGGAGACACTAACATCATAGTTTACCATCATAGTAACAGCCACTCAAAGGTGTCTTGGAAAGTCATTGGCATCTTTATCAATATATATAATAGTGACTGGCAGCCCTGATCAAAGCAAACTTAGTGAAAGTTGCATTAGATAAGTGACCTAAGATTTCCATTGACATATCTACACTGTAGCTACGTACAAATGACAATAAAAGCCTTGAATTGAATTAAGAAGTTTGTCATTCAGCATCACAATGTACACCTGTCTAAAACCAAAATGATGTTTCTTGTTAGACAGAACATAAATGCATTTAGATTCACGTTTCCAAGTCACGATGACTCTTGTACAAACAGATATTGTGCACTGCATGGTTTAGCCCCCCAGTAATGGCCCCAAAGGACTCTGGGAAGATGTAGGAATATACAGAACGCCCGTCCTCTCCGACCGGCGGCCGGGAGAAGAGCTTTGTCTCCGACATCGTGGAACGGGACTTTACGTCTCAGCTGAACGCTACGCTCCCATACGCCACAAGGACAGAGCCAGGAGAGCAACCTCGTTGGATATCCATGTCGGGTTGTTATTTCAAAAATATTTGAATGTAGACCTAAGAGAGGATGAGTAGAACTGTCCCTCTACCTTTGCTGCAGTGATGTTCAGCTCTCGCAGCTGAGCCTTGAGGTCGGAGTTCATCTCCAGCTCGAGCAGAGCCTGCAAGGAGAAACAAGACAAATCAGCCTTTAGTTTTATGTAAATGCAACTTCCTGACACATGTACAAGCACAGCCATTATACCTCATAGCTGGACATAATCTGGCAGTTTCTATACAGTTCATATTTCTGTTTACATGCAGAGAATAACCTGATTTCTGATCTAAGATACTGAGAGGTGATTTTCTATGATTAATACTTATAATCAAAAAATAAATTCACACATTCCTTCTGGCAACTAATGTGCACTGCATGGTTTAGCCCCCCAGTAATGGCCCCAAAGGACTCTGGGAAGATGTAGGAATATACAGAACGCCCGTCCTCACCGACCGGCGGCCGGGAGAAGAGCTTTGTCTCCGACATCGTGGAACGGGACTTTACGTCTCAGCTGAAAGCTACGCCCCCATACGCCACAAGGACAGAGCCAGGAGAGCAACCTCGCTGGATATCCATGTCGGGTTCACACATAATACACACATTCATCATCATATGTATACATCTTTCTTATACCAGGTTGTGGAAGAGGTCTGTTTTTATCTTTTAAAGTTGATTTAAAAAGAAAACCTGTTTTACAAATCCAAGACTCAAACGCCTGCATCTTAAAAAAAAATACTTCAAAATTACACTATATTTTACAGTAGGAAGCAGCATCACCAGCAATGAGGTAATGTGTGTTTCAGGGCAACACTGAAACTATTGGATTCAAGATCTGACAGCATCTCAAACAATGAACATTTCCATACAAACACACCATGCAGCTTGACAAACTCAAACATAAACACATGATTTAATGTGAAACCTGGTCTTCTTACCTGGGAGATCCCAGACTCGAACTCGTCAGGCTTTTCGCCATTCGGCTTCACTATTTTGGCGCTGGTACTGAACATGGCCGTTGTTTCTGTGGAGGTAAATAAAAACATGTAGGGTTAAATAAGCATCAACAGCCTCCTAACACACTTATGCTATCTTGGTATCGTGGTTGAGCTCCATCAAACTAGCATGCATTTAGGCTAGGCTATGACCAGCTTAATGATAATTGAGGGCAGCAGGCTAAGTCAGAACCATAAGCCATATTTGAACTTAAATTGTGATACTTTCAACATTAACCCTCAACAAATCAAACAGCCACAAAGTAAGCTAGACTCTGTGTTACAAACAAACAGCATGTTAGCCACAAGCTAGCTCTGAGGGAGGTAGCATGTTTCAACTGCCATGTACCTCTGATACAACTGAGCTGGAGTGGTTAACGTGGCAAACAGAAGTATTTAGTCTTATTTCACACAAAACTTAACATACATAGAGCTTTGAATATCGAGTCTACTGCATTTACGAGGAAAACGTTCCTTCTTTCTGAACACATGCACGGCCTGCTAAGCTAACTTCTGCCTCAGAACTCCCATCATACGGAGCTCCTCTACTACGCTTTATTCTGTCATATGAAACAGCCATCCGCATCCCCAAACTACATAATCTAACGTATCAGAGCCTTAAGGTGCCTTACGAAGTGTTTACGCAACAATTAAACAACATTAAAGCACATTTTAGGATAGAAAAGCCAGTCCTGGGAAGGGTGGCACAACTAACCTGTGTCAACGACGGCCAAGGAAGAGGCCGGAACATCGCGAGAGTTGTATTAATCCAATCCGGAGGGGTATTTACCCATCGCGAGATTTGACGCAGACCACGTTTCCAGTGCTGAGAGAACATCGCGAGAGTTGTATTTTATTATTTTTTGTATTATACTCAACTTTATTGAAGGTTGCATTCGCGGGAGTTGACACAGACCACGAATCCAGTGATAGTAAATATCGCGAGAGTTATTTAACAAACGTTTCATTTGGATTATGAAACTGTATTTTTCTTTATTTATATGTCTACCCCTGATGTGAACTTTTTTGTATACGAAACATATGATGTTCATATATGCTTTTGAATAAATAAATACATAAAAAAAAAAACACCTTAAAAAAAACGCCCAAAACATCGCGAGAGTTCAGCGAGAAAACGGGCTGTCAAGCTTTCCTAACATTACTTTTGACTTTCCTTTCTTTGTTGCTTTACTTCGGACTTTCAAGACTACAACAGAGGTTAAACTACTATCAAATTTACTAAAAATACTTTGTTAGAGTCTGTGGGTGTTTTTGTGAGAATAACGGTGAGCAAACCAGCTAATAATAAGGATATTAGCTGGTTTTAGCATCCTTTTCTGGCTGTGGAAGTACAGTTTTCTTTCTTTTTTAGAGCCAAACACACAGGGACCAGTCAGCTTTCTTTATAAATGATTGTGTAATTAGTTAAAGACACCATGATAGCCTCCCCAGCTGCGTTATGTTCAGACTGACTGGTGTTTTCAGAGCTTTACGCAGGATTGTCTGCAGTGGGGCCGACGACATGCCGAAGGGCAAGTTTTACTTTGCTGTGAGGAAAGGCTTCAAACCAGGAGTGTACAGCACATGGTGAGACTGTGTATATGTATTACTGTCAGAAAATACTGTCTGTTTAGAAGAAAATAACTGTCATTGATCCTGCACAGTGGGAGAGGAGGTACACACCAAACTCCATTCAGAAATATGGTGATTTAATGTGTTTTTGATCTTCTGTTAAACAGCACGTGCTAGAAAGTTCATTTTAAAGGGTTTTGGAAACGCAACAAACCATTCTTCAATTCGGCTTAGGAACAATACAAGTTAAAAGCAATATATACTTATTCACAGTAGAAAATACATATATTCTGAATATAGTAGCTTTTAATTAATGGATGTTTTTCTCATCATTTGTGGGTTTTTTTAACTGTTATTTAGGGATGAATGTAAGGGCCAGGTGGACAAATTCCCCGCCGCCTCTTTCAAGAAGTTTGCATCAGAGAAAGATGCCTGGGCGTTCTTCAGAGGAGTCGACCCCTCTCCAGTTCCACAGGTGAAGAAAGGTAAGCTAATATATAAAGCCTGTTTTTACTTCCAACTATCTTCCCCCAACACAGTTTATGAGCAGATTTGGGGCCTTAAAGGTCACCTATTAAGCAAAATCCACTTCTTCATGTCTCTTCTACATCAACATGTGTCCTCTCTTCTTCATGTCTCTCCTACATCAACATGTGTCCCCTCTTCTTCATGTCTCTTCTACATCAACATGTGTCCCCTCTTCTTCATGTCTCTCCTACATCAACATGTGTCCCCTCTTCTTCATGTCTCTTCTACATCAACATGTGTCCCCTCTTCTTCATGTCTCTTCTACATCAACATGTGTCCCCTCTTCTTCATGTCTCTTCTACATCAACATGTGTCCCCTCTTCTTCATGTCTCTTCTACATCACCATGTGTCCCCTCTTCTTCATGTCTCTTCTACATCAACATGTGTCCCCTCTTCTTCATGTCTCTTCTACATCAACATGTGTCCCCTCTTCTTCATGTCTCTTCTACATCAACATGTGTCCCCTCTTCTTCATGTCTCTTCTACATCAACATGTGTCCCCTCTTCTTCATGTCTCTTCTACATCAACATGTGTCCCCTCTTCTTCATGTCTCTTCTACATCAACATGTGTCCCCTCTGTGTAAAGAGACTCTGAAAGTTTCAGGAACAAAGATTCTCTCTCTTTTTGTCCGGATCCATTTCTATAAAAACCTGTCTGAAAATGAGCTGATCAGATTTTGGCCACTTTATGATGTCATCACGATGTTTTGTCTTGTGTAAGGGCCCGTCCACTCGGTGGCGTGCGTTGAAGCTTCAACGCTTCTTCCCATTCACTTTGAATGGGGTGACGTCAGGCTTTGCCGAACTGCATTGTGGTTCCGTCGCTTCGCTTTGCTCGCTTCAAAAGTTGAGAAAAGTTCAACTTTTGAAGCTTCGACGGAAGCTTCAGCCAATCAAATCATATGCCAGTACAAGCGCTAGCCAATCAAACCGCGTGTTTGTGTGTCCGGGGCGGGAGATTCATGTGATTGGTTGTTGGTCGAGTTTCAGACACGCCCACCGGCAAGCTTCAACGCACGCCGCCGTGTGGACGCTGCGTTACCATTAGCCAATCACCAACCGAGGTAACCCCCCCCCCCCCCACCTTATCACCTGAATCTCCTCCTAGAGCACCATTGAGTTCTTGGTAACCAAATATCTCTCAGAGGGGCGTGGGGAGGGGCTCCTTATTTTCATCTAAAGTAACAGACAGAGAATCAGCACTTTGGAAACAGGGCTGAAACAGAGGGGATTATGGGTAATGCTGCAATGATCTGTTTGGTGTTTCAGCCAATCAGAGACAGGCTCTGTATATATCTGAGACCTGTGATATATTGATGAGAAACAGTATAATAGGGGACCTTTTTTAAATGTCCAAAAAATTCATGCAGGACATCCATGCATAGTGTACAGTTCAGGATCAGGGCTATATCATTCCATACAGTCACCAAAACAAGTCAGGGTAGGCCATTTGAAATGGCATTTTGCCAGTTGTTCTCCTCACAATTTGTCCTATTGTTTCCAGTTTCTCAGAGCCTGGACTCGGCCCTCTCTCTGCTCCCTAAAAGAGGTCCGGAGCCTCTGGAGTACATCGCTCTCGGGAAGAAGAGAAGTCACTCGGACGAGGACGCACAGACACGTCCCAAACGAGTAAAACCGTCAGAAAGCTCGTCTTCAGTAAGCTCTGACGGATTCACATACATGGGTGAGCATCTCTAGAATGAGATAAATGTGAAGTCTAAATCGAGACACCTTTTGTCCGACTTGAATTGAAATATAAGATAAGATAAGAAGTACTGTATTGATCCCAATTTGGGAAATGTTTGTGTTGCAGCAGCATAAAAAGACATGGCATTGTACAATAAAAATTAAAAGACTAAAAATAACCAAAAAAGTAGAAAATATACATGTTGAATTACACATTTACAGTAACAAAATATAAAGCAAGTATATAAGCATTTTTTAAATTTAAAAACATGTGTTTATAATCTGTAAACATAATTTTTTGCTCATAGTTCACGTGTTCTGTAAAAGTTAAAGTTGAATAAAAGCTGAACTCCTGAACCTCACGCTCTGTCTTCCCTTCACGCAGATGATGCTGTTGTTGTTTACACCGACGGTGGCTGCACAGGAAACGGACAGAAAGGAGCAAAAGCTGGCATCGGAGTTTACTGGGGCCCAAACCACCCACTGTGAGCACACACACACACACACACACACACACACACACACACACACACACACACACACACACACACACACACACACGCACACACACGCACACACACGCACACACACGCACACACACGCACACGCACACGCTCACGCTCACGCTCACGCTCACGCTCACGCTCACGCTCACACTCACACTCACACTCACACTCACACTCACACTCACACTCACACTCACACTCTCACACTCTCACACACTCACACTCTCACACTCTCACACTCTCACACTCTCACACTCTCACACACTCACACTCTCACACACTCACACTCTCACACTCTCACACACTCACACTCACACTCACACACTCACACACACGTTGAGTCACCTTGAAACTACATTTTAAGCTTATTTAAAATACTTTATTCTTGGTCTTCTGCAGAAATGTGGCAGATCCTCTGGAGGGAAGACAAACCAACCAGCGGGCAGAAATACAAGTAAGCATATTATTTTATAATAATATTGTACTTGTAAACATCTGGATCTTAAGTTAGCTGAGAAAACTAGCTGAGCATTCGTTAGCAGTTAGCTTGCAGCCTCTCACTCCTGTTGAAACACTGATTCTGAGCTTGTTAGGTCTTGGATTTGTTTAGTTGTTGTGCACCAAAGTGGATAAAACTGTTCAGTATTAATCTGTATAATAACTGTGTGTGTGTGTGTGTGTGTGTGTGTGTGTGTGTGTGTGTGTGTGTGTGTGTGTGTGTGTGTGTGTGTGTGTGTGTGTGTGTGTGTGTGTGTGTGTGTGTGTGTGTGTGTGTGTGTGTGTGTGTGTGTGTGTGTGTGTGTGTGTGTGTGTGTGTGTGTGTGTGTGTGTGTGGTGTGTGTGTGTGTGTGTGTGTGTGTGTGTGTGTGTGTGTGTGTGTGTGTGTGTGTGTGTGTGTGTGTGTGTGTGTGTGTGTGTGTGTGTGTGTGTGTGTGTGTGTGTGTGTGTGTGTGTGTGTGTGTGTGTGTGTGTGTGTGTGTGTGTGTGTGTGTGTGTGTGTGTGTGTGTGTGTGTGTGTGTGTGTGTGTGTGTGTGTGTGTGTGTGTGTGTGTGTGTGTGTGTGTGTGTGTGTGTGTGTGTGTGTGTGTGTGTGTGTGTGTGTGTGTGTGTGTGTGTGTGTGTGTACAGGCAGCCTGCAAAGCGCTAGAGCTAGCCAAAGAAAACAACATGAAGAAGTTGGTCCTCTACACAGACAGCATGTTCACCATCAACGGTGAGATTAGTTCATTTGTTTATCGTGTCGTGGACAGTCTCCCAACAGAAACGATCACAACATGTAACACACACGCCACATCCAACACAGACTAGTGTGTGCAGGTCCCCATTGATCAACTGTCACAGAAAACAGTAAATGTGGCATTAGCCAACATTGCTAATTTCCAGCTGTTGTCCCCGTCCAGATGATAATAGACACATTTTTAAAATCCCAATACATCAACAGCATTAGTTATAAAGAAAGGATGAAAGACGAGTAGATAGATACATGTCACATATAGCAATCATATCACAATACATATCACATATCACAATCACATAAGGAAATTAAATTTAAGTTTGTCAGTTTCTGTCTAGACATTTTTTCAGAAAACTTTATGGAAGGGTGTAACATGGTCCAGGGAAGAGTCCTTTGAGTTTTGAGGCAGATACGGTTAATGGGGCGTTAATTTTCGTCTAAATTAGCACATCACAATCACCCAACAGAAACGATCACAACATGTAACACACACGCCACATCCAACACAGACTAGTGTGTGCAGGTTCTCAGTGATCCATGTTTTTAAGTGAGCTGTAAAGGTGCTCCAGTCACACCAACAAATCCATGCTTTCTGAACATGAATCCTGCCATGTTTTACTTTGAACTTCACCACAGTAGAGCTCGGAGATGTGTGTGTGTGTGTGTGTGTGTGTGTGACGTCTGGTGTGTGTGTGTGTGACGTCTGGTGTGTGTGTGTGTGTTCTGCTGCAGGTGTGACCAGCTGGGTGAAGACCTGGAAGGTGAACGGCTGGAGGCTGAAGTCTGGAGGTCCGATCACAAACAAAGACGACTTCATGAAGCTGGACAAACTGAACGCAGAGGTGGAGGTGGCCTGGGTAAATATCCGTAAATAATTCAAGTCAATTGAGAGTTGATATTGTTGGATAAAATGAAAAGTCACCCCATTTCTAACTTTTACTTTCTTAAATGGATGATTTAGAGAAGTTTCATTTCTCCTCCACCAAAGCAGCAACGTACAAAAACTCATATTTTTAGCTTAACGTGAAGACATAAGGATCAATAAACATCAATCAGTAGATTTAACAGACTGTAAAGGGGAGATGTTATTTTATGTTTTCATGAGAAAATGTTGTTTTTTCTGTTGTTTTTTTATTAATTGTAGCCTGTAAAGTGTCTTTGAGTACCCTTCAAAAACTGTGAGGGCTTTCAAATGTATTATTCTGTCATTTCAATTACAAAATATAGTCAATGTAACTAGTCGATAAACCCAGATAAAAGCATGGGATATTAATATATATATATATATATATATATAAGGCTGAAAACAGCTTTTTCTGACTCTTATGTATGAAAAATCGTGTTAATTAACATGGTTAGTGATTATTTGTAGGTCCTTTTCACTTATCGTCTCAGCTCTTTGTGGTTTTAAAACTTACCAAGGCTTCACAATTATTGAATTATTGATCGAGGTTACGTTGGATGAAAGGTGTTTATGACTTAAAATAATTTACGTGACAAGAGTTGCCCATGTGAGGATAATAAAAAGGTACCATAACCATCACATTTTGACCTCAGGGAATTATATTTGTCATTTTAATTGGTGCTTTCTGGAAAATATGAGTTTATCTGGAACGATAACACTCTCTTAAAAGTCAAAAATCAGTCCGAACAAGCAGCTCGAGCTGAGGTAATCACATGTCCTGTTCAGGTAAATGAATGTATTTGTTCCTCTTCTTCCTCCAGTTGCATATCCCGGGTCACTCGGGCTTCATAGGGAACGAGGAGGCGGACAGGCTGTCGAGGGAAGGAGCTCTGAAGCCTCTCCCCAAGAAGTAGCTGTAGCTCGGAGAAAGACACTTTTATTTATAAGAGATTTGCTGCAGGACAGTTTGGTCTGTTTCTCTACAGGAGAGGACGATTTTCTGTTAAATGTTCATTTAAATTATTTGTTTTTGCTCTAAATAAAGCTAATTCCACATCTGGATGTTTATTTTCATAATCAGAAACAGGTTTATTACCAGGTAGGTTCACATACGAGGAATTTGACTTGATGTCATGGTGCATACATAAAATATAAAACAAGAAATATAATATAAATCAAAAAATCTTTAAGGACACCGTAATAAAATATAGTTAAATAGCAATAAAATAAAGCAGTAATTTACATGGAAATAGAATGCTATGAATGAATTATAGGATATGAAATATGAAACAAGAAATATGTGCAGTAAGCAGTATGAACATTGTGTGCATTAAAGGTGGGGTAGGTAAGTTTGAGAAACCGGCTCGAGATACACTTTTTGTTATATTCCATGGAATGCTCTTAACATCCCGATAGCAATGAATATCTGAAGTGCTTTGACAAAAAATCCATAAATAAATATCATCTGTGGAAGCCGTGGCGCTGTAAAAAGCACGACCAATCATCTGAGCCGGCTCGGCTAAAATAACTGGATGGCCTACCTGCCTGTCAGCCTTCCATCTGTGCACAAACTTATCTCGTGCCCTCATTGGTCATGTGCGCGTTCGTGTGTGTTGGAGGAGGGGCTCTGTAAGGAAGTGGCAGATTTTCTCCGGTTGTGTATTTTCAAATTCTCGGGCCGTGTTTAAGAGGCCGGTAGCAGAGGGGAAGAAACTGTCCAGGTGGCGAGAGGTTTTGGTCCTGATGGAGCCTCCTGCCAGAGGGGAGGGGGGTGAACAGTTTGTGTCCAGGGTGGGAGGGGTCGGCCACTATCTTCCCTGCCCGTGATGCAGCATGAAATTAAAGTATGAGGTTTCTTCTGAGGATTGGTGCTTTGTTAATTTTTGAGGAAAGTTTAGGAACGTTTTATTCAAACCGGAACAAAAGACAGTTTTCTCCACCATATCTGTCAACTTCTCCTCTCCTCTGATTTCTAACGTGAAACCACTTTATTCTGTTTTTAACCCGTGTTTCTCTAGCACACTGTAATGTTTGCTCAGCTTGTTTGTCTGATAACTAAAAGCCTTCATCCAGTGAGAATATAGAAATAAAAAGCACCAATATTTAATCGAGTATGGTAAAAATGTGGCTTAAAACCGGGTAAAAAGTCAATTTATGCGAAACAAATATATAAGCAGACCAGAGGCCAGTTCATCAAACCCTGGATATCTTTGAGTTATCTGGTTTAACTAATTCTGGGTTGATTTACCGAGTTTATAACCAGTTCAAACTATTTCCTTCATCCTGACCTATAGTATCACTTCATGGCTTTAAACTCCCCACACTGAGCTCTGATTGGTCAGCAGAGATGCCAAAAGTACACACATCCTTTACTCAAGTAGAAGTACAGATACTCGTGTTTAAAAATACTCTGGTAAAAGTAGAAGTACTGACTAAACTTCTTTACTCAAGTCAAAGTAAAGAGGGCTTTGAAATGTACTTCAGTAAAAAGTACCCATAACTAGCAGCTGTTTTAAAGAGTACCTGACCTCCCTTTATATTAATAGAACAATAATGTCATTGTTAGCTAATGAATGTTTCCATGCTGAACAACGGCAACATGACAACGTTTTCATTGGTCCCTCTTCTTTAGAGAAGACCAGGAAATGACGGATACACGGATCATGTTCAAATCGGGGGGAAATTACTCAGTCTGGCTGTAATACAGGAAACTGTCCACCAGGAGGAGCTCCAGGTCGGTGAGAGAGCCCAGACTGAGGCGATTTAGGGTTTATTTTAGGATAACACACACACACGCACACACCAGCTTCCCTACTATGATAACCCGATTTACTGTTCATCCAAAATGAAGGTGAATTAATTATGACAATTTACTGACATAACAGAGCCAAGAAGTAACAGATGGAGATGGAGATTAAATAGATGACCTACTTATTATACCACCTTTCATCCAAAAATGCCGTCAACAAAAAATAAAGAAAAATAGACAGTAAATGACACAATTTGGAGTTTTTAAAGGTCCCATGTCATGCTTTTCTGGTTATTACCCGTCCCCTTGTGTGTTATGAAGGTTTGTATGCATGTAAACGGTCTGCAGAGTCACAAACCCTCAAAGTACACCCTGTAGCGAGTAAAACTCTAACCTGTCTTCCTCACACACACACAATCAATCTTTTCTCAGCTGCAGCTTCGCCGATTTCTCCTCCCAGCCAGACTGCGGGTGTGTGTGTGTGTGTGTGTGTGTTCGGGCTGGGTTTCGCTGTGTCTCGCAGATGGCCACTGGGCTCACAGTATACACATACTTTACAGAGATGCTGTTTGAGAAACCAATGTGAGTTTGGAACATTGAACAATGTGAATCTATTCTAGTAGACCTCAACAATGGAATTATGATCAGTAGAAATGGCCATGACATGGGACGTAAGAACATTTTTGAAAATGAATCAAATGTAACACCAGGGAAAAAAATTAATGTAAAAACCAATGTTTAAATAAAATAAAAATGCAAGTTAGAACTTAATACTATATTAAAATCCAGATTTAAACGATACGTCTCTAATTTTCTTTTAAAAATATTGAGAGGCAGTGACTTCCACAGTTTAGCGGCACTGGAATCAAAAGGCACTCTGACTGGCCATTTTATGGGAGGAGCATTTAAAGTAAAATAAAAAGGTAGTTTAATCTCATATTTAGCTCAGATGCAGAATCAGAAACAGATTTATTGCCAAGTAGGTTAACTCATACGAGGAATTAGTCTTAGTGTTTTTGGAGCATACATACAAATAAAACAAGAATGAAAAACACTGATAAAAAACTACTTTAAGAAAACTATAATAACATTAAAAATATAGCAATATTTACATTGAATATGGTTGAAATATAGCAGGTATACCCATACAGTAAAATAGGAATAAAATATGTGATATGTGCATTTACAATGTGATAGCAGGATATAAGATTCTGCACACTGAGTTATAATCGTCAAATGTTAGTAGACAGAACATTTCAACACTTCCTTCAACAGGAAAACGATTGTATAAGATATAATGTAATATATAATGTAATATATATAATCGTGCAGAACTACAGATGAGGAGATGACCTGAGTTTGGAGAAGTTGTAGGAAGATAAATTCTCTAGGGACTAAAAAGGCCAACGGGGACTCCGTAAAGTTTCTGCTATCGATTTGTTTTCACACCACGCACCAAGCTCCGACATGTCTCCGTATAACGTGTTTTTTTAACCGCCAACTTGTTCGCAAACAGTTTCAGGCGTAGAGCAACATTAAGATTTAGAAACATGTGAGTGTATGCATGATGGAGTCCCATTTACAGTCTGATTATATCTTGTGTTGGTGTCCACCAGCTGCTGAGGGACATCTCTGTGTGTAGCAGATACGGTATCTTCATTATTTGTTATTTTATTATATCATATCCTCCTCTGTAGTAGCAGGTTTTTTTGTTGTTGCAAATGTACGTTGTTTGTTGCGTATAGGGGTCATTTTAGGAATGCAAAAAAATGTTTTAAGAAGCTGAGAGGGGGGGGCGGGGGGTATATATATTTCATGAAGAAAAACACAGAATTTCTGATGTTAAAGTTGTTCATATGTTCTGATCAGAGCTGGGAGAAGTACTCAGATCTGTACTTAGTAAAAGTAGAAGTACTCAGATCTTGTACTCCTCCTCCTCCTCCTCCTCCTCCTCCTCCTCCTCCTCCTCCTCCTCCTCCTCCTGCCCCTACTCCTCCTCCTCCTCCTCCTCCTCTTCCTCTCTGACCTCATCTCGACCCCGCTGGAGGCAGCTCAGTCAGAGAGAAAGAGTTTCCTCTCGGAGGTCAAAGGTCGCCCTGCAGCGTCTTCACCTCCTCGCTGGCTGAGCCTCGTTAACACTCTTCCTCCTCAGCAAAAAAACACACATGTTCTCCTCCTCAGACTCTGGCACCGGTCCCCCGCTGCAGGGGCTGCAAAGAAACTCAACTAACCAGACATTAGATACATCCTGCTCGCACTGAACATGGAGGGTTTGTAAATGTTTAGACCCAGAGTCTGGAATAAAACCTGCATGTTCTGCTGGGGTTAAAAAAGAATCTCTGACACCTCAGACCGTCTGACACTGAGCGGAGGAGGTTAACTCGTAGAGAGATAATGGAGAAGAGAGAACACTTCATCAGCTTCTAGACCAGTCTTTAAGTCTGAGTCCTATAAAGTTTTCTATCCAATTCATGCTCTTGTTCGGCCCTTGAGGTCAAAAGGAAGTCAGAAAGGTAAAGTCTGAGTCACTTTGGTCATGTCCAAGTTGATTTCCATTGTGAATGTCAGATTCCAGGGTCACTTTCAAGTCACTGAGTTAAAGAATAACTTAACAAACCAGACATTAGATACATCCTGCTCGCACTGAACATGGAGGGTTTGTAAATGTTTAGACACAGAGTCTGAAATAAAACCTGCATGTTCTGCTGGGGTTAAAAAATAATCTCTGACACCTCAGACCGTCTGACACTGAGCGGAGGAGGTTAACTCGTAGAGAGATAATGGAGAAGAGAGAACACTTCATCAGCTTCTAGACACATCCTTAGGTCCAATTCGAGTCCTGCTAAATGTTCTATTCGATTCATGCTTATGTTCGGTGTAAAGACCAGCATCCTCTTCTGTGACCTTCTTTATAACCAACAGTTTTTTTCAACTCTCAGTCTGTCTGGTTTAGGTTTGGCTTCTTTGTGAATCTGCCCGTCTTCAAACAGCGTCACTGAGCTGCTTAAATCACTGAAGGTCCAGGTAGCACTCTCACACTCATCCTGATCATGTATCACATTTTCAAAAGGCAAAGTGACTTCATCTCCAGCTTTGACAATACGGAAGTGATCTTTCACATCTGCAGCTACAGAAGTTTGAAAATGTATCTCTGTGAGAGTTTGGTTTCCAAGAGTTCACTAAAGTCACCACGTTACAAACACAACTCATCCTTCTCAGTTAAAGGAACAGTACGTAGTAAAGTACCGTTAGTGATATTAAAGCTGTTTTATTTAACGTGTGTTTTCTGCATCCTGCAGGTAATTGTTTTCGGAGCCAAGGAAGAACTGGCAAAATGTGCTTCTGCTCAACAGATGAAGCGCTGACTGAACCGGAGGACCAAACTGAAAGCTGACAGGGGATTTGAAAAGGTCTATAGCCACCTAGCCAGGTTCTTTAGCCTCTTCTCCATGTGCCATTCTTAGAGCTTCCTCTATGACGCTCTGATGCACTCTCCAGGAACGCTGAAGAGTACGTAAGTCACATGAAACTGTATCACTTTCTTTGTTGCCTCATACCTGATCCCAGGATATCACCACAGCTCCACTAAATGTGCAACACCTTCCTTGGCTCTGATACAAACTGTATGTTGTTTACAAAGTGAGAGCCAGGGCAAAGAGAGGTGTTCAACCCAACAAAGCGTTGTGTTGTCAGTGTGTTGGAGATAGAGAGAGAAACACAACTCATTATAACATTGATTAAAAGTACTCTTTTTATTTGGGTTATATATCATTAAAGCCGTAAAAAAAGGAGTAACATATTCCATTAGGACTTAAGCTAATTAAAACATCCTAAGATACTGGAGGCATTTCAGCTTTAGGAATACATAGAGAGTAAAAAGAGAGTATAGTAAATATATTGTATAGACTATTGATCAGATATATACAGCATGTGCAGCAGTTACAGTAGGCAGTACAGGTATATATACTGTAGGTATAAGTACACGCTATGCTAATTATAAGACATTATATGAATCATTAATTGAAAAACAAGATAAAACCATTATTAAAGTTATTAAATCGACACTAGGGTGACTGAGTTCCCTAGAGAACACAATTAACAAAAACATTTGATGGATCATTTTACAATTTAGATATTTTATGAATTCAACCCAACACTTGTATGTTTGAACATGTGCAGCAGTTACAGTGAGAAGTGAAGTTATAAGGTGTGAGTACAAGTACTGCTAATATTGAGATGTTATATACAGAGACTGTAGACCAGGGGTCGGCAACCTTTTTGATATGAAGTGCCATTAAAAAATAAAAAATTGTTATCAGCGTGCCAACGATCGAGAATTATCAACGGGGGGGTGTAGGAGCTTGACGCTCGTGAACTATCAACAGGAGGGCGGGGGGAGCCTCGCTGCGCGGAAGCAGTGTGTGGACCTGTCAGCGCAACTTACATGATACCGAATTTAACAAACACATTTAAATAATTGGTTTAAACGGCATAATAATAAGGACGATCGTCCGTTCTGTGATTCTCCAGAACACACATGTTATGATATTAGGGTCATGCAGAGTGAGAAGAGATTGCTGTCCCTTTAAGAGAGAGAGAGACGGGTGTGGCGTGTGCATGTGTGTGTGTGGATGGTAGAGCGAGTGAGGGAGCGTGTGTTTGTTTCTGGAAGTGAAACGAGGCAGCAGAAAAACAGAGGTCTGTGATGTATTTTGTGAAACAGAAGAACAGCTAAATAAATGCAACGGCCTCCCAAGAAGAGCTCGCCTCTCTCCAGTCATTTAAGCTAAAGTGGGTTATTGAACCTGAAGCTTGTTGCTTCTGCCCTCCTCGACTACGGTCTGGGAGCCGACAGGAAAGTTCAACACACAGATGGCCAGTCCGCCCCTTTGTAGCATATTATTTCAATGAGAGATGAGCAGATCGCCACTGGGCTTTCAAGTAAAGACACAGCCACGCAAAAACTGCGGCATTTGTAAAGCTCCTTATGGGTACTGCAATTTGTGAGCATGCTTTCCTCTGTGGTGAAACGATCAGCCCTGCACCACGGAGGAAAGCGGCAGAAAGTCACCTGGAGTTAAACAGAGCGGGGCTGCGCTGCGTGCGGGGAGACGCGCTCTGGCGGCGGTCTTGTTCAGGATCCGAAAATACAATTTAAATATTTTGCACACTTATTCCACTTAGTCCTAGTGTGCCACTGGTTACGGTGCCGCATGCCAATGCTGGCACGCGTGCCAATGCTGGCACGCGTGCCAGGGGTTGCCGACCCCTGCTGTAGACTATAGATCAGATATATAACTATGGGAATGTGAGAGCATACTTAAAGGACGTTAAATCAGAAATGAATGAATATAATGAGCTATGTTTCCTATCATATGGAGGTGAGTTTCTGAAGGGCCTCTCATGGGGCTCAGGTGTTCTCAGTCATCAGAAATGTTCCAATGATCTCATGGTTCTCCTGTTTTCTCCTGTAGAATATGAGGAGGTGATGTTTGACAGCATGGACTCTGAGGGGAGTTGATGTTGTTGATCAGTCACACAGAGGCAGAAGCCCCTCCATCGTTTTCATAGTTCACCTCATCTTCATCTTCATCTTCATCATTCTGCTCCTGTCAGCATGGAACAGAGACATGGTGAAAACACAGAGCAGAGCTGGAAAGTAACTAAGTACATTTACTCAGGTTCTGCACTTAAGTACATATTTTAAGGACGTAACTTCTGTCTGTGTTTTTCCTGTTTTCTGTTTATTTTCCACAACATATTTCTAGACCGACTGGAACACTGGATTGGACTTTCGGCAACAGTTCTAAATTGGGTTGAATCCTACTTAAAGGACAGGAAACACTTAGTTCCTATAGGTAACTACACATCTGAGTGGACCAATATGACATGTGGGGTTCCTCAGGGCATTATAAAGAGCTGTTGATTCAGCTACATGGTCACTTTGAAGCATCCTTAATGAGCATTTATTACATTCTGTTGCTGTTTTTTGTTATTTTGCTAAATGAACTGTTTTGCTTTTCTGAGATCATTTGGATACATAAATATTCTAAATTAATCTTGTGTTGCATCTTCTCATGCCTGTCATATATCCACTGTTACCATTGGATAGCAAATAATACACACATTTAATTATTCAATGTTCAAACTCACCATGTTTTCTTCCGTCTGTGCTTTGCTCCCTGAAAAAAGGACACAACAAGTTGATATTAGATTTCACCTTTATTTGTATTGTTTTCATTTGACCTGTGAATGATCTCACCTTTAGCTCTTGTCCATATGTTGACTGTAACCACGGTGATGATGAGAGCCGCTAAACCCACAGACACCATGATGAGCCTCAAGCGACCTGGAGAGAGAAGTTAGAAGAGTTAAATACAGTCTCTAAAATGTGAATGAACAAAATGTCTCTTGGCTGTTTGATGCTTCCTCGTCACCTTCACACAGGGACACGTACAGAACATACAGATACAAACACAACTTATTTATAATCCACACAGTTCGTTTTTTCTGCATCCTCACCTTAATGAATGAAATAACAACAAGCTGTACAGTTATAAAAACAAATGTAATCATCTCACATCACGACATAAAGATGTGACGCATCAGGATGAATGATTTTAAACAGCTCATCATGTTCTCACCTGAGGACTGAAGAGAAACAGCTGAGGTTCTGTGACCATCAAACACTTTACAAGTCAATCAAGTTAACCTTACCTGAGTTTAAGTTGTTTTTAGCTGTTGCTGGTTTTCTGTCCTCACCTAAACAGAAGAACATAACTTAACAAACTATTACATTTTAATCGTCCATAAAATAAACAAATATTGAAGTATTTTTTTTTACACCAGTAAGAAGTAACTTTTAACATCTCATCATGTTCTCACCTGAGGACTGAGGGCTGAAGGGAAACTGATGTACTTCTCTTGTGAACCTATAAGTTACTTCACAAGTAAACAACTCAGACCTTGTTGTGTAACTAAAGAGAGAAGTCAGAAATGTCACAGAGGCAGAGCAGGAAGACTGTGATGTGTTTATATCTCTGTGATAATTTTTCTATTCGAGACCAGCATCATCTTCTGTGACCTTCTTTATAACCAGAGAACAGAGTTGGGTGTAACGCGTTACAAAGTAACGTTGGGTGTAACGCGTTACAAAGTAACGCGTTACTGTAATAATATTACTTTTGTCGGTAACGGAGTAGTGTAACGCGTTACTTTTATAATTCAGTAATCACACTACAGTTACTAACATTGCCCCGACACGCGTTACTTCGTTACTTTTATAAAATCAGTCATAATCACACTGACAGACAAGAGGGGTTTCCGCCGCAGGTTTATATGTACGTAATCTGCGCGACTTGCACGTCCACATCTCCGCATGCAGTGCTGCATAAACATGGCTGAGTCAGCGATAACTTTCGAGGGGTGGAAGTATGCCCATTATTTTGAGTTCGTCCGAAGAATAGACAGGAATGTGACGGTGAGGTGCAAACTGTGTCCAGGCCAGAAGCTGTTATCCACTGCTGTAAACACCACGTCAAAACTCAACAAACACCTGCAAAGAACACATGCTAAGGTGAAGCTAATAGCTAAGGACCCCCGAACCCAGAGTGAGGATGTTGTGAGTGCGCCGCCGCAAGAATTTGGAGGACCGGTAACCAAAGCAGAGATGGACAGGCTTGTAGCATCCTTCATAGTAGAGGTAATGTTGCCCATTTGCACAGTGGAATCACCATCGCATCGTTCAGAGATATACTGCGCAAAATACAGATAGCAGGAGACAGAGGACAGCCATTGTCAGAGCTATCTGAATCAGTCTTATGCGACAATGGAAACTGAACTAAAGAGAACATTTGAAACTTTAGCAGTCTGCGTGATCTGCCTGTAGGGAGGGGCGGGCCGGCCCTGAGAGTAAAGTAACGAGTAAAGTAACGAGTAAAGTAACGAGTTACTTTATGTAGAGAGTAACGAAGTAGTGTAATATATTACTTTTTTTTAAAGTAATATGTAATATGTAATATATTACTTTTTTTTAGTAACGACCCCATCTCTGCCAGAGAACAGTCTTGCTGGTTTAGCTTTGGCTTCTTTGTGAATCTGCCCGTCTTCAAACAGCGTCACTGAGCTGCTTAAATCACTGAAGGTCCAGGTAGCACTCTCACACTCATCCTGATCATGTATCACATTTTCAAAAGGCAAAGTGACTTCATCTCCAGCTTTGACAATACGGAAGTGATCTTTCACATCTGCAGCTGTTAAAAAAACAAAGACGGAAAGAAATATGAAAACAACTGTAGTGTATATAATCAGCACGATGATCATTATACAGCAGATACAGAAGTTTGAAAATGTATCTCTGTGAGAGTTTGGTTTCCAAGAGTTCACTAAAGTCACCACGTTACAAACACAACTCATCACTCTCAGTTAAAGGAACAGTACGTAGTAAAGTACCGTTAGTGATATTAAAGCTGTTTTATTTAACGTGTGTTCTCTGCATCCTCACCTGGAAAGTGGAGCAGCAGCATCAGGAATGAAGACATCATGATCCTTCTGAATTCAGACATCGTGCTTCTCTCTCGGTCTCTAGCTCTCGAGGCGTGTGGCGCAGTGGAAGAGCGTTGGTGTTCGGATCAGGGGAGCACAGGTTCAAACCCCACTGCAGTCAGCATGTCGTTGTGTCCCTGAGACACTTCACCCCAAATTGCTCCTGTGGGGATTGCCCACAGTATTGAGTATGTAAGTCGCTTTTGATAAAAGCGTCTAACAAGCAACATGTGATGTCGACTGTCAGAGTCTCTAACCTGCTGCTTCTTTAACAAGAACTCACCATCTGCTTCCTGTGTAGGAGCCATGAAACGTGTATAGTAATGTGTTTTGTTTTAATATAAGATATCTGATCACTATTGATTGGTTGGTTTGGGTCACATGGATATGCACGGTGTGTGGAAGAGAGGGTGACACAGGGCCGTTGTACTTTTTGTTGACCGCAAGATTTATGATTGCTTTGATTATTATTATTACAATGTCTATGTCTGATCACTGCGCTTTCTTCATTAAACTACATTACAATTCAACAGAGTTTTGATCTCAGCAAGTACTCTTTTTTTAGCATGTCAAACAATATCAAACCGGCCCGGCCTCAGCCTCTCAGCGACTTTGTTTGTTTCCTGCTGTCGCTATATCCTGTGATAAATGAGAAGTCACTTCCTCATCCATCTCTCCTCTGATGGCTGTGGAGTTCATGTGTGAGATTAGCTTTTAAATCTCTTTAGTCTTTGGTTGTTATAAAAATAGTGAAAAACTGTAACATCAGATGTTTATGTTTGATGTATTTATTCTCTTTGGTTATTCAGAGTGAAGGTAACTGTAGGCCTTCTTCATCAGCAACACAACAGAGGAAGTTGAGAATGTAAAGATGGCTAGTTTTAATGCATGTTAACAACATGCTGGTTCCTCTTTGTATCTCTGCAGATTTATTTTTACTTTTTCTGAGAACTGAAGAAGCGTTTCTTTGAAGAAGTGGTTAACAGCAGCAGCAGAGCTCTGCAGGTTCTATTTCGTATAAGGCCCTCTAAGGCTATCGCTTTTGGGTAATCCCACTGCACGTGTGCAGCACTGACAGACTTAATCCACGCCCACCTATGACGTGGGCCCCACCTACGGCCTCACTTCCGTATAAATAGGAAGTAGGCCCGACCATCTGCTCCCATTTTTCTTCAGCACTCCGTTGCAGAAGCACTGGCCCTCTGGCCCACAGACAGCGGAGAGAGGACGCTCTCGCTGCTGCGGCCGAGGATGATTAGCTAGTCCAGGAGTCTTACTCCGTGGACCAAAACCTTGATTTATGGGATCCGAGTGGCGGGCAGCAGTCAGGCGACTCCTTCCCCTCCATTCACGGATCACCATGGGGTTCCCCCGGCCCCATCCTCCCTCTCCTCCGGACGGGGGAGACTGGGCGGGGGCTCGGTGTCAGCCCGACATATGAGTTACGACCGGCTGTGGCTGGCTCGCTCCATGGAGAAAGGAAGCGGCTTTACACAGACGATACAGGTAAGTACTGCCGGGGATGGGAGCACGCAAACGCGGCTCTCACTCCCCAGGTGTCGTGCACTCATTGTGTCCGTCTACCTCTGGCCCACAGACAGCAGAGAGCGGACGCTCTCGCGGCTGCGGCTGAGGATGATTGGCTAGTCCAGGAGTCTTACTCTGTGGATCAAGCCCTTGATTTATTGGATCCGAGTGGCGGGCAGCAGTCAGGCAACTTCTTCCCCTCCATTCACGGATCACCATGTGGTTCCCCTGGGCCCATCCACCCTCTCCTCCGGACGGGGGAGACTGTCAGCCCGACAGCCGAGCCTATGGGTTCGGCTGCCGGGCTGACACCGGGTCACCGGGTCCCTCTATCCGCCATCTCGGCTCTGCCGTATAGGCGGTATTCTCCAGGAACTCCCGGAGATCATCGGAAAGGCAGCCGCCTAATGAGATCTCCCCGTTCTCCCCGGTTCAGGAGAGCTCTCCTCCGGATGACATAAAAAAGCTGTATAAGCGGCTGCCTCATAGCCTGTCGGTTATTAGGCAGCAGGGCTCGCGGCACAAACCGGCTGTCTTTAAAACCTGTCGGTTGATTAGACAGCACAGGCTTGTTTCCTATGTCACAGATATGCCTCCACACACCTCCGCTCATTCCTCCAGCGGGTTTGAGCGTGAACGCGCCTCAATGTCCGGTTTACGAGCCTTCTCTTAAACGGCGACATGATGAGAGCCGCTGTGCAATACAACGTGTGGAGGTGCATAAGCCAGCTGGGGTTAACCGGTCGGTTAACAGACAGCGGGGCTCGCCGTTTGAGCCGGCTGTAACCTGTCAGTTAGCAGGCAGCAGGGCTCGCGGCACAAGCCAGCTGTATTTAACCAGGCGGTTATTAGATAGCAGGGCTTGACGTTTAAACCTGATGCTCCTAACCTGTCGGTTAGCAGGCAGCATGGTTTTTTCCTCTGTCCCAGATGTGCCTACTACACACGGTCGTAATGAGCCCAGGGCTGTTATTACGCACTGTGTGAATAGCACTGCACACACCTCCGCTCATTCCTCAGCAGGGTTGAGCGGGAACGCGCCTCAATGTCCAGTTTACGAGCCTTAAAACTCCTAAACAGAGACAGGGTGAGAGCCGGTGTGAGATGCAGCGTGTGGAGGCCCCCTCGCAGCTTTTTCGGTCCGGGCCCCTCTTGGGTTGCTTCACGGGCAACGGCGGCGAGGGCTCTGACGTGGCTCGTCACCATGACAACCACAGCACATTCCAGAGCATGTCGCGCGCTCTCAGAGTATTACTCAGAGTGGCGACGCGTGTGTTCGGTGGACAGATGGTTAATATTATGCAGCAAGGCCCACCGGGTAAGCCGGCTGCCCCTAACCTGTCGGTTATAGGCAGCATGGCTCGCTGCATACATCTGCTGTCTTTAAAACCTATTGGTTTTTAGGCAGCTCGGTTTTTCTCCTCTGTCCCAGACCTACCTCCTACACACGGTTGTAATGAGCCCACGAGTACCATTATTACAGTGTGGACAGCACTGCACACACCTCCGCTCATCCCTTAAGGGTGTTGAGCGTGAACGCACCTCAAGGTCCGGTTTACGAGCTTTCTCCTAAACGTGACATAAATGAGAGTCTGTGTGAAATGCAGCGTCTGGAGGGCTCTGGTGTGGCTCGTCACCATGACAACCACAGCACATCCAGAGCAGGTTCGCGCGCTGAGTGGACGGCGCGTGTGTTCGATGGACAGAGGGAAGTGATATGCAGCAAGGCTCCCCGGTTAAGCCGGCTGCCAATAGCCTATTGGTTACTTGGCAGCATGGCTCGCTGCTTAAGCCGGCTGGGTTTTTTAACTTATCAGTTAATAAAACAGCAGGGCTTACTATTCAATTCGTCTACCTTAAACCTTTCGGTTATTAGGCAGCACGGATTTTTCCTCTGTCTCAGACGTACCTCCTACCCACGGTCGTAATGAGCTCACGCCCCCCAGGTGTCATGCTC